GAACATACATAAAAAAAAACAAAGATTCCGACGAATTGTAAACCTCCTCCTTTTTGAAGTCGGTTGAAAAATCGTTTAAGTTTTTATCACATCTTATCTCAGTTAATACGGGTTTTTGTATGTATTAAAACAAATAAGGATAAAGACTGGGGACCTTCAGACATATGAAAAACCAAAAAGACTAAGGCTGAGATCTATAGATCGTACTTTGACTTTGCTCAGACTTAGCTTACGACAAACTTAGCTGAGTTCTGAATTTATAGTTGTATCGGGCTAAGATTACGCTAAGCTTATGCTAAGGCACAGACGGTCCAAATATTAATGGATGCTTCATTCCACGCATTATGTTTTTGACTTTACTGTATATATATATATATATTTAAAATCAAAACTACTGTATAAATTAAAAATAAATATTTATTTAAAATCGAAAACAGTCCAAATTTTATAATACAAAATTTATTTCATGTGTTGAGCTTGAGCACCTTATTGTTGTCAGTGTTTACAGACCCCCATGTTCAAGTTATGATACTTTTGAAAAAATTATGGAAGAAGTTTTAGTTAAGCTTAATAAACAGAATAAATCTCTTGTAGTGTGTGGAGACTTTAATATCAATCTCCTGGAAACTTCTTCCATCAGTATTAAATTCTGTTCTTTGTTCAAATCCTATAATCTTAATAATTTATTCTTTGAAGCTACACGTATTGCAGGGTGTAGTGCAACTTGTATTGATAATATTTTTACAGGTGTTGTACCAATCAACAAATCAATAATTCAAAAACTTAGTTCAGATCACTGTGGACAACTGGTTTCGTTACCTTATATGCACAAAAAACAGGTAAATGAGAAAATTGTGTTTGTTCCTATTAATGCAAAACGCCTGGAGAGATTTAGAAGTAATATGTTAAAAATCCTTCCATCCCTTTCTTATAAGAACAATGCAAACTATTTATATAGAGAATTATTTACCTTTATAAACAATGAATTTAATAAAACATTCACTTCTAAAACATTCTCCAGAAACAGTCGCAAGGCATTTAATGAGTGGGCGACAGTAGGAATTCATAAAAGCAGACGAAGGTTATATGACCTTTACCATGAAAGATCGTATAATCTTTCCGATGCTTTTAAAGAATATGTAAAAAATTATTCTAAAATATTTAAAAGAGTTTGCTCCACAGCCAAATCATTACATATTAGTAACAAAATTAAGACAGCTAAGAATAAAATTAAAATGACGTGGAGTATAATTAACAGCGAAACCGGTAATGAGAAACCTCGAAATTCAAACTATCAATTAAAAATTAATAATGAATTGACTAAATCAAATCAGGAAGTTGCAGCGGTGTTTGAGAAATATTTCACTGATGTTCCTATCTTGACAACAGAGTCATTGAATGCTTCTCCAACTGTCGCCGAATCATTACTTAAACAGAATGTTAATACCTGTTTAAAAGAATTTAGATTTGAAAAAGTATTACCGCATAATATTGTAAAATACTTCAAAAGCATTGATGTAAAGAAAACCGCAGATTTGTGGGGGATTTCCGTTACAGTGATTACGTCCATAATAGATTTAATTGCACCTCATCTTGCTATTATTTTTAATACTTGTATCGATTCTGGTGTGTTTCCTGATTTAATGAAGTATAGTAAAGTAATACCTTTATTTAAATCTGGTAGTACATTGGACCCCGCTAATTATAGACCTATTTCTGTACTACCAACTCTCAGTAAAATTTTTGAAAAAATAATTTTGGATCAATTGTTAATTTTTTTTAATACAAATAAATTACTTCATAAAAATCAATTTGGTTTTACAAGGGGTCGCTCGACGTCTGACGCCGGTGTTGAGCTTATGAAATATATTTTTAATGCCTGGGAGAATTCACAAGATGCCTTAGGTATTTTCTGTGACCTTTCCAAGGCTTTCGATTGTGTTCATCATGATACATTAATCAGGAAACTACAACATTACGGTGTAAAAAATTTGGCGCTTAAACTTATTACTTCATATTTAAGTAACAGAACTCAAAAAGTCGTCATTAATGGTAAATGTTCCTCCGGATCGGTAGTATCAATGGGCGTTCCTCAGGGCTCGATTCTTGGCCCATTCCTGTTCTTAATCTATATTAATGACTTACCTTATCTTGTAGGGGACAATCACGATATAGTATTATTTGCTGACGATACCTCTTTAATTTTCAAACTGAAACGGCAGTCAATTAAATATGACGATGTAAATAATGCTCTATCGAAACTAGTACATTGGTTTAACGCCAACAATTTGCTCTTAAACGGCAATAAGACAAAATGTATTAAATTTACAATACCTAATGTAAAACATTCGAAAACCAATGTGCTCTTAAATGGGGAGGAGTTGAGTCTTGTGGATACCACTGTTTTTCTCGGTATTACTATTGACGCGAAACTTCAATGGGGCCCCCATATATCTAAATTAGCAAGCAGACTTAGTTCTGCAGCATATGCTGTAAGAAAGATTAGAAGTCTCACAGATGTTGAGACAGCTAGGTTAGTGTATTTTAGTTACTTTCATAGCGTAATGTCTTATGGAATTTTGCTATGGGGTAATGCGACTGATATTGAAGCTATATTTGTTTTGCAAAAGAGAGCCGTACGGGCGATTTATAATCTAAATTGTAAAGAGTCCCTTAGAGAAAAATTTAAAGAAATAAACATATTAACTTTGGCATCGCAATATATTTATGAAAATGTAATGTATGTACATAAAAACATAAATAGCTTTAATAAGAATAAGGATGTTCATACCTTAAACACTAGGAACAAACATAAGCTTGTAATGCCACTTACAAGACTCCACAGAATTAGTAATTCATTTATGGGGCAATGTATACGCTTTTACAACAGAATCCCAGAACATGTTCAAAGTTTGTCAATAAACAAGTTTAAAAGTTTTATTAAAGAAAAACTGTACAAAAAGGGTTATTATAATATCAAGGAATACATGAGTGAAAATAACCCCTGGGAATAAGGTGATCGCCACCATGCTGGTTCTATGAAAATTCATTTAAAATTGTATAATCAAAATTATTGTTAAGTGAAATTATGTTTAAAAAAAAAAGTCCCGCTGGGTTTCTTGCTGGTTCTTCCCAGGACAGAGGTATTTTCCGAACCAGTGGTAAATAAAATAATGACTTTCAATAAGTATTATGTAATAATCCATATTGAATAAAAAATCATTCTATTCTATTCTATTCTATTCTATATACTAAAAACTAGAAGACGGCCTAAAACTGTCTATTTATTGTTATAATTAATTAGAGTAACATAAAAACAACAATTTAAAATTAATACGGTGGTTTTGAATAATATCCTGAGTTTTACGTAAGTCGCCGATATCGTTGACTTCGGCTTTGCTAAACGCGCACTCAGCACGCTTCGAAGTTAGCTCTATAAATACCGACATTGTCTTAGCTCGAAAGGTAAGTCTGAGCAAAGTCAAAGTACGGTTTATAGATCTCAGCCTAAGATAGAATGCCTCACGTTCTTATCTTGTAAATAAACTATAAAAATAAATATATAGTTCTCCTATCAATAACATAATGTCTGTGGTCTTGTCTTGTCCTTCAGACTTTCTATATATAACACATTTATACCTGGTAGAGCCACGCTACAGCTACTTTATGGTTGTGCAACAAATGGGTCGGCTTGACCGGGGTTAAACCAGGCTCTCACAGAATACCAGCGTAAAATATCAGATTAATGCTGCTGTGTGGTGAGTGTACAGAACCGGAAACCCTTTTTACTAGAAACGTGGCATTCCTTTTTAGTCCTCAGGGGTGACAAATCAATGATAAATGTAGGTGTCTATGGGCAACAGTATACATATACTATCAGGTGGACTGTGTGTGCGTTTGTTACCCTAATTCCTTAAAAAAGACGGTTATTTTAAAGGTTACACTTTACTTCAGAACGTAAGTATCTCTACTTTTGAATGCACTAACATCCTATTATTCTGCGTTTCATCTGTTCAGACCGTAACGCAGCATACATGCACTGATGCTTTGCGGCAGACACATGTAAGAGGATAATATAACTATCCAGAAGGACTCGTAGGTAGAATAGGAGTTAACCTTTAATTTATTGCGAAGAAAGTTTAATAAATAGGTTATGGAAAATCGGTAACAGCGTTTGATGTAATCTCGGGTGAGCTTCATATCTATAGAGCCTGTCCCCAGGAAGCACATATGAGAACAATCGGCGTTATCCGCCCGGCAAGGCTTGATTTATCCACAGGCTAACTAAGCTGGAGCCTAGAACGCAAGGTTCGAGGGGGCGCTCAGCTTGCCTTTGCAAGCACCACTTACGTATAAAATTAAATTTAGTATTATATTCTCAATAAATAATAGAATAAGTGCCGCAAGCAATTTACTCGTTGCTCCTTCTTTGTTTTTGGTACAAAACAAATAAATATACCTGACCCCAATTAAATTGCGACAATAGCTAGGGAAAAGAAAAATAGAAGAGAGAGCGTTTGATGTAATTTTTGTTTGAAGACCTTGTAGCTAATTCCACTATTAATAAAAAAAATTAGACGTAGTGATAGGCAAGCGAAAACTATATATATAGATACATATCGAGTCGATATTTTTGAACAGTATCGATATATATCGCGTGATAAATATCGATATACATCATTTGCATAATGTAAAGTGAAGGTTGAAAAATGACAACCTACCACACCTGAATACTTTTGTACCTCCTTTTGTTGTCACATGTTTTGTCATTAAAACAACATTTTAAAATATATCGAAATTGATACGAATGCGATACTCTAAAATAAATATCGGTATATCGTGATTTAATATATAGACGATATATATCGATATTTTTTTCCAAGCCTAACTTGACAATTTGACATATTTATTTTTTGTAAACTTTGCGGATTGTAGATTTCACATATAAAGTTAAAAATTTTTTTTTGTTTTATGAAATTAATGTAACTAACGCTTAAACAATGATCCGAAGGATTAGTGGATGGTTTGCTCTTGTCTCCATATTAACAATTGCATTATTAGGATTTGGATTGTATCTAACTTTAATTAGTTTTGTAGTTTCGTTTGTTGTGGGGTAAATATAATCATTTTAATCTAAATAGAGGTCACTACGTCGTGTTTTTATATTCTATCTTGTATTGTTTATACATACCTTATCTTTATTTACAGGATCACAACTATTTTGTACTTGAACTATGACAGCAAGAAGATTTTCTCTGTTGATATAGATTGCTTAGATGATCCTCTTCAACCTACAAACTTTACTATTCAGTCTTTAAAGGTACGACCTACTTATTATTAAAAGTTTTACCTTTACCTTTTTATGACTCTATTTTGATTTAAATCTTAAGAATTTGGGCATAAACATATAAAATATATTATTTTATTCCTCCTTCCTCTTCCACCACTACGCTAGGAGGGTCTGCTCGACAGGAGACACTTTCACAGAATACCAGTGTAATACGGCAGCTTAATGCTGCTGTTTCGTATTGTGGGTGTAGAGAACTGGAGACCCTTTATACTGGAAATGAAGTATTCCAGCTCAGTACTCAAGGGAGGATAAATTTAGATGTTCATGGGCCACAGTATCCACTTACCATCAAGTTGACTGTGTGTTCATTTGTTACGCTTATTCTATAAAAAACCCTACGTGTTAAACTTGTAATAAGACCATCTTTTGTTTTTTCCTTAATTTTGGTTTATTTTTGTTATATTTATCTTTCCTTGCTGCACAATAAAGAGTAGTTGAGTTGTATTGTCCTAATTCATAACTCGTTTTTTTTTGCCACATAGTCTGTGTAGTTTATTGAACTCCCTTTGTTTTCTATTTATTTACTCGTCACTATTCCAAAACTTAGTTTCAGGTATACTATTGTTACATCATATATGTAAACCGTATTATTATTTCGCTCTAGTATCCCTATCTTTTCATCGAGGAAGTAGTTATTTTTATTGAAGTTTTCCTCAAGTAATTCCATATCCATTAACTGGAGAGTGATTTCTAAACACAGTAAAAGTGGTAGGTTTATATGGTAATTTACCACTATATATATTTTTATATGTATATATTGTATGCAAATGTGTACATATATATATACATATATATATATATATATATATATATATATATATATATATATATATATATATATATATTCTTTTTAACCCTTTCTATGTTGATTATTGCTGCACTGCCTCTTATATATCTATCTTTGTTTAACCTAATGGTTGACTGGGAGAGCGTGGCATATGGCATTAAGCCCGCCAGATGTACTACTTTGTGGATGAAAGTGTAAATAAATTTAAGACAAAAAAAATTTGATTCAGACTGCAACACCACATCTTATCACATATTTTTCACATGGGATTTATAAGATCATATAATATATTTATCAGGCCTTTCCAAATCCATCAAAAAAGTGGATACCTGTTTGTTTGTTTTGGTGTTTCTTCACTGGTTAGAGAAAACTCATTCCTAAATGGTAGGAGATTAATATATATGCTAGAAGAATATAAAAATATTTAATATACATGTCATTATGTCAAATTCTTATTACATATGCAATTATTTGTTGCCATTCCCGCAAATTCGCCCATATGTAATTTCGGATGTCAATTTTATGTGTGGAACCCTGATTCTTTTTCTTTTCGTTCATCAGCTATCTGCCAGTGGAATTTCCGTCAAAATCAGTCCAGCCATTTCAGAGATTATCCGGAACAAACAGACAGACAGACAGACAAAAATAAAAAAAATATATGTTTTTGTTATAAGCACCCTATATACTTTCATATGCATTTAGAAAAAAGCTGTTATTTTGACATTACAAACAGATGCTTCAATTTTATTTATTTGTATTATAATTCACATAAAACATGGTATAAAAAATCAAAAATATTTTTTTAGGTTTTGGACCTATTTGAAAAAGAAACACCTTTACCTAAGTTTGATAACAGAATAACAGGCAGTGAGACTGTGGATTCATTTTTGAATGAAATCATTGTAATAATCATCAATGATTATGTAACTCCGTGGTATGAAATAATAACGGATGATAAAGAATTTACAACTTACTCAATCAGAAGATGTGTTCTGACTGCTGGAGCAAATGTTGCAAATAGGTATGTTAAATCACTTAATAGTATGTTAGGGGTCTTAATGATTGGAAGAGATTTGCCGATACAATTAAAAATTTGTATAACTGCCTGCAATATAAATTATTAAGAATAACTTAAAAACTATTGGTCAGACCTTGATCATGAGAAGCACCAGCTTTCAAATAAAAAAATCGGTTGTCTGTAAAGTCGGTTTACTGACGATAGTTGAACGTGACAACGTCATAAGAAACTGTTGCTATAAACAATTGACACCACATTCACTTTTCACTGCACTTCATACTTGACGAAAACATGTAAATGTATTATTGTATAGCAGCTGTCCATGCGGACGCATCGCTCACTCAAGTAGGAGAAAGACAGATGTCGAATGCTGCCGAACGCGGAGGCCGATTGTGCCTTTTTTGCCTTTGCCTTTTGTCGCTCGTTTCGCGCTCTCGCTTGCACTTCAAGCCTTAAATGGAACGCCTCAGAGCGAGTTAACGCCGCATGAGTCATGTTTTTTCGCGCGTGCAGCCATCTTCATCGAATTATAAGACGTTGTCACGTCAAAAAGAATTGTCGAAATCGTTTCACCCAGAAAAAAGTACTGAGGTAACACATATAAAAAGAAAAAAAAAAACGTCGAATTGAGTACCGTCTCCTTTTAGAAGTCGGTAGAAGACTTACAGAAGCGCCAGAAAAACAAAACGTAATAAATGTGTGAACAGCTTCACACAAAATCATCCCCAATCACATCATTTTTAAAATAAGATGTGGGAACTAAGTATGTAAACCATTTATAATATTATAATGAGGTTCTAATTTCATGTTATAATTAGGTTGTCATTTACAAATGTAGTTGTATACAAATTACACTAAAAATGATGATGAGAATCCTGTGAGTACAATTTTCTTATTTTCATAATTTAGATTTGATGAACCCTGTCATATACATTATATGGTGGTGTATAAAAAAAAACCATTAAAGCCATAAATTGTGGTGAAATAATTTTGTAACGAAACAGTTTTAATTATATAATTATCTTAAAATGATTAAAATGGAACATTATTTAAAATAATTGCATTTCTCTTTATTGAAATAAACTGTTAAATAAAAAAAAAACATGTGTGTAGTTCTTGCGGTTTAAGTGAAACCTTCAAATGATGTGATATACTTACAAAATAAAAATATTTTACGGCTTTTTCACGGATTACTTTCAAACACTAGCGCGACATAAAATATAAGATAAAAGTTTAATTTTATATCAAATACATGTTACAATACTTATTTTTCGACTAAATTTTAGTGTAATAAATCAAAATAATATTTTCGTGTTAAATTGCTTTGTAATAGCGCCATCTAGTTCATTCTATAGGTAAAGTCATTTTATCAAACAAAAATTATCGAATGGTGGATTTGAACCACAACCTTTTGAACTTGCGGTTTACACTGTATTCTATCTCATTCTCTCGCAGGCTAAATCCTATAGATGTATATGTTTGTCTCTTTTTAGTGTCGCTTTTTCGTTTCATCGAGTTTATTATAATAATAATAAACATTTACTCATTACCACAAATTACCAACAGTTTCAAATCACAATGATTCTAAAGAAGTTTTCACTTCAAAATAACGGTATCTGTTGTAAGTATTGTAAATTTGAGTCTCCGCTGGTCACTTATTTTATTTATTAAGTATAGTAAAGTAATACGTCAAATACTCATATAAAGCGAGAACTTAATCAATTCTTAACTTGTTCTCTCTTTTTCCACTAAATTGGAATAAAAAGAGACAGTTATAGTGGGATAGACATAATTCATACTTAATTTCAGTAAGTGATCATTAATGATTATAAGTAAAGCCATTAGTCATTATAATAGGTCTTTACCATGAAATTGCTGTTATGAAATAAGTTAAGGTAATATTTTTTTAAATGTTTTTTATTTCTTTTAATCAAAGTCAACGCAGTGGCAATTTATTGATGGCCTTCTGAAGTAATCAGCTGGACTTCAGAAGGCCATCAATAAATTGCCTACTGGCTGTAGGCTACAAATTCTTCAAAGGAATTTTGTGCTGCCTTTCGGGTATTGAATTTTTTTTCGCCAAAAAGTTATCCAAATTCTGGAAAAAGTAGAAGTCTGTAGGTGTAAGGTCTTGTGAGTATGGCGGATGACTTAGAGCTTCCAATCCCAGCTCTGGTAACTTGGAGACCGTTTGTTGTGCAGTATGAGGTCGCGCGTTGTCGTACAGGAGCAGTGGGGAAAAGCCCTTGACCAAAGCTGGTTGGAGACGCACGAGCTTCTCCATAATTGTGTTCAGTTCTTCACAGTATACATCTGCGGAAATGCTCATCTTATTTGGTAAGAAGCTGTGATGAATCACACCGGCGCTAGACCACCAAACAGTGACCATCACATTTCTAGGGGTAAATTATCGTTTAGGGCATTGTTTAGGTGCTGAATCAGGATCCAAACAACTTACGGAGCGCTTGCGATTGTCAAATAGAATCCATTTTTCGTCGCAGTTAACAATGCGGTTCATTGTTACCTGCGACATGACTCGACGCGTACTTCGCGCTGGCGATCATTGAGTTTGTGGGGTACCCATTTGCCAAGCTTTTTTATCTTGCCAATTTGACGCAAATGGACCAATTTTGTTTTGATGCTAATGTCGAAAGCTGCTACTAATTCCACAATCACCTTTAATTCGTCATTGTCGACCCAAGTTTTCGGACGTTCACAGGCTTCATTTCTCAGATCGAAATTTCCAGAACGGAAGTGGGCAAATTAATATCCATGATGACAAAAAAGATTCAAATGCGATCAAAACATAACGTTAATCAATAAACAAATGACAATTTTGAAAAAAGGCCAGTTCTGCAGAACGGCAATTTCATAAGTAAAGACAGGTGTTTTGCAAAAGTCAGTGGTATAACTAGCTCAAAAAAATTGTTTTTATGATTATAGTTAGTATTCCTTATTTATTAATTCTGTTCTATTCAATCTAATATATGTTATAAATTTGTCTTAAATTTCAGAATTAAAAGTATGGATTGGATACATCTCCTATCCTCAAGATTTCCTGAAGAGTTAACAACACATCTAAAGTTATTTAAGCAATCTAGAGTTAGATTAAAACACTTACAGTTATTAAGTGCCAAAGAGATTGCTAATGGTAATACAAAGCAAAGTCCTAAAAAACAAGAAGAAAAGAAAACCCATAGAAGAAACAAAAGTGAAACAGATTTATCATGGTTACCAGGTAAAATCACTAAGCATAACTAGGAGAGTGAACGTTAGCTCCAATCCCATGTTTCTGGACCTTCAGTGTTGATGGATATTACTATAATCACTATCCAAAAAATTTAAAGCAAAAAGTAGTAAAGTAGCCTAAATATAACTGTTATTACTGCCTTAAAGTTAAGGTTATAATTTATTTTATTTTCGTCATTGTTTTTTTCAGATGCTCAAGCAATAGGCAAGTCAAAGTTTTATGGTAGTTCGGAAAGTGTTAGTTATAAAAGTTTAACAGACCTATTTTTTGATATAGAGTGTACTATAGAAAATAAACAAATTTGCCGTGACATGTTTTGTACAGATCCTGAGAAAGAAAATGGTAGGTATCAGAATTTAGTTTTAAATAACAATTTGTTTTATTATAGTCCAGTGAAGTAGTTGCGTGAAATAGGTATGAAATAATTACCATCTCAAGAGACCTTAACCAAGTTTTTGGTAAAGCGAAGGCAAAAGCTTGGCTCTTCATGCTCCAGTTATGCTCAAGTTATTGTAAGAATATGCACTCACATACACATATGCATCGAAAATCATTTTAGGTGCATATTTGTGTGGTTAGCAATGACATTTTATGGATTGATAAAGAAAGAACGAATAAAGATGTGTGCGTGAGTATGTCAAGAAATAGAGCATGATTTCAGTATCACTTGACATATATGCAGCGCTCCGTCTATCTTTCATGGATTTCACTGGACTTTTAACATGCATATTTATTTTTTTTATTTTATTTATTTATTTATTACAAAGTATAGTTATTTAATAAGATCCGACAGTACAAATAAACTTACAAAAGTTTTTCCATGTACCGCCAATTCGTAACTTCGATCATGTTCAATCGGTTCGCGTTGCGACAACTTATTTAATGACGTATATCAATGGCGTGACAAAATAGCACGATGTTTTTTTATCTAGGTGTGTACAAAAGCAAAATATGGTTAGTATTAAATGAAAATTAGTAAATTAGTAATTTTTTTTTATTTCTGTATATTATATTATGATGTGTGTTAGTGTTATATGTTTAGTTTTATATTTTAGTTTAAGTTATTATTAGGTATCGTTAACAGTTTGCCGATAAAATACTGTTTAAGCATATATTTAATATTTTTTTCAGTAAGTTCATTTTTTATTGGTTTGGGAATTTGGTTCAAAAGAGCGGGAATTTGATATTGTAATCTAAATTTTCCGTACATATTTTTGTATTTTGGGATAATCATATATGGATTAAGGGCTTGTCGAGTAAGTTTTGTATAAATACGGCTAATTTTTAATACTTCCTTGCCATAATTTTCAATTAGCAATAGGTATTTCACTTTGTCGTGTACTGGTAGTATTTTGCAATGATGGAAAAGACCATAAGGATTTTTTTTATATTTGTTTGTTTGGATACGCAACTGTAGCTCGTATATTTTTTCAAGGTAAGTTTAATAAGTGCGTCCGTAACTGCTCAACCCGTACGAGACTATTGATTCGCCGAGTACATTATATAGTAACAGTAACATCTGGTAAGGTACTTTACTCTTGATGAGATAAAATTTTGCAAGGATTGCTCGTAGCTTATCGCATACAGATTCAATGTGATCAGTCCATTTCATACGATCATCAATTATTAAACCTAAATACCTACATTTTTCTACTATTTCAATTTGGGGACATTCACAGTTGTTATTATGGGCTGAATTTTGGATATTATGAAGACATGTGTGATTATGAGCTATAAGAGTAATGTTATGTTTTAATCTATTTTGACTGGAGCTAACGTACATCATTTTAGTTTTATTCGAATTAAGTACTAGACCTGCGTCATGTGACCACTGCATGAGCTTCGTAAAGTCTTCTTGTAACAGTTTTACCGCCTTATTCATACTGTGGTTGGCTACCACCAGACATGTATCGTCGGCAAATTGGAAATTTTTTGAGTTTTTAATCAATTTATTGATATTATTCACGTAAGTGATGTAGTATAGCAGTCCTAATACTGAACCCTGTGCTGTACCTTCACTTACCAAAACTTTATTACTTAATGTATCCCCTACTTTGACATAATAGGAACGATTTTGTTTATTTTGTAGAGTATTCTTATATTATTATAACTAATCATTAATAAAATAATGTTTCAGCATTGCTCAGTGAAATTTCTGAAGCAGTTCTATACTTAATTGCACCTGAAGAAGCTTGGAAGTGCCACGCTGTGAAAATGATACTTATTGATCTGCTGTCGGCAGTGGTATTACAACCACTAGTAGATCTACTAAGTGATCCTGATAACATAAACAGAGCTATAATTAAAATAGTGAGTTTTTAATTGTGTTTTTGTCATTGTAAAGTTATTTATTTAAAAACTTAATTGTAACACCTTAAGGTAAAGGGTACATTGAGAGGACTTATTTATGTTATTCATACATTAATATGCATATGCATAAATGGATTATGGTTAGCAGAGAATATTAATTGAATTTTGAATTTACATATGTAATAAACTACATAAAGATCTTATATTTCATAATTTGTCTTGCTTCATCGAAATTAAATGGTAGGTAATCGCCAGCAGAGCTTATTTATAATGGTGGATGTTCTTTTGTTTAATGTCGGCTAAGATAATTTCACAATGTTTTATAGTGTCACAAACAAAGGCTTTCGTGTCCAAACCTAATCTAAAATATTTAATGCATGAGGGATAAAATCAAGAGTAGGTTGAGATACAGTGTCGGAAATATGGGTACAATCGATCCAGATTCGTAAACCAAGTAATTGTGTTTTTGCATAGATGGTTCCGTGTGGTATTCAAAGCCAATACCCATTGTATAATATAATATTCATTGTCTGACGTGCGGTTACCACTATTTTAAACTAATTAGGTATTTGTCATATTTTTAAATATTGGTTTAGAATTTAATTTACATAGAACAAGACAAATGTGTTATTTGCGTTCGTTTATAGTGTTGTCGGGACTCCTGCTTATCTTCCGAGCTATTCCTGTTGGTGATAAGGTGTTGCGGTGATGCCGAAGAGTTGAACGCTACTTTAGAGCTTGTGCAAAAGGATATACAGAAGCTAGTAAGTAAGATAACCGTTTCTTATGTTTTATTTGGTCCAATTTAAAGTAATGTTATAATAAGGTATAAAAGATGATTGTGGAAAAATTAATTAAAAAAAGTCCTAATTCATCCAAAACACTGAAACCATAAGTTCACCGACTGGTTTACTGTGGGCATTGAATTATATGTACTACGTACTAGAGAAGCCATTCCGAACATTGACTATGTTCAACTGAACTGTAGTGCAATCCATACAAACTAAATATTGCGTAAATTGAAGATTTGTGAATTCCATAAAATAATAATTATTACATTTTATTTAGAAATATGTTTGTTTAGATTAAATTAAGATATTTTATATTAAATTCTTATATTTATTTTATATTAATATCTTATTTTATATTAAAGTCTTCGCGCATGCGCGAATACTACTCCCGCGCATGCGCGAAGACATAGAGTAGGACACAATTTTTGTTTGGAATGGCTTCTCTAGTACGTAGTACATATAACTCAATGACTGTGGGCAAATCTTACAAGTCATGCATGCCTGTTGGCGCAATCTTGTGAAGGACGACAAAATAATAGCTTATTAAGTGTAGAAATTTTATTTAAATGTAAAGAAGAGCTTAAGCAATTGTTTTTATGCCTGTAGTTAGTCTATACAAAAATACAATAATTTTTTGGCTGTTCAAATTTAATCAAACAATTCTTACAGCATTCTCGTGACAGCGCTGGCGAGTGGGAGCTTCAAGATAGGCAGAAATTATCATCGTTGCAATATTTGGCTAGGATAATTCAGGCCAGACATGCTACTCTGGGACCGCAAGAAGGTATGTAATAAATAATTCTTAAAGGTTACGAAGCTATAACTTCCAGATTTTACCCGAACATACTGTCAATTTCTCTATTGTTCTAGTACCTCCTTTTCAGTTTACAAGAATGAGCGCAGTCGGACAATACGACGCCGTTATGTTTTATTATTTGTGAGGTGCATTTAGCTATGTAGTGGCGGTGTAAAAATATTCCCTACCCCATATCGTCCCGTGGGTGTCGTGAGATGAGACATAGAAAAACTGAAACAGGAGATGGCGAGCAGCATCTACCTGATAACAAGTCAAAATTATAAAAAAATTTCAGTTGCCAACCCGCCTACCAACCGTGGCAACTAGGGCAAAATTCCCCCTATAAGGGGAAGGCATATGTTCAGCAATGGACTTCTATAGACTGTAACGGATGGATATAGGTGCATTAGGTAGCATTTCTTTGTGAAACCGATTGCGATAATGTTGGAGTCGTGTTCATTCCATTGATTGTCATCAAAAGAGGGAGTTTTAATCTCAGATTAAATTATATCTTATTTTTTAATAAGATTAGGGTGACAAACAAGCACATAGTCCACCTGATGGTAAGTGGTTGCTGCGGCCCATAGATGTCTATATCTATCCTCGTTTGTGAATCAAAATGCAGATGCGTTGTCACCCGTGAGGACTAAGATGGAATGCCTCTTTTCCAGTAAAAAGGGTCTCCGGTTCTCTACACTCACCATGCGAAACACAGCAGTGTTAAACTGCTATTTAACGCTGGTATTCTGTGAGAGATCTTCTTCTGTACTACTGCTATAACATTATAAAAAAATTCTGCTGAACAGAAGTCTCTCCTATAGTCTTTTGATGTTACATATCGTCGCTTATCTGGATATTTTACAGTTGATAAACAAGACGATTTCTTAAGCTTTTTAAGCTCTTACAACACCAGTTGGACAAGATGATGTGATGAATTATCTAACATCGAAATCGCCAGCTCATCAATTTGTTAACTACTGCCCAGCAAGTGTGTCGTTGTACGTCTACAGAAATTATTATTTCAGCAGATTAATCTTTTTTTTTTGGTTGAAGGAGCGTCAAGCAATAGCAGCGCGGAAAAAGTATCGGAGGAGGTTTTGAGATCCTTAAAATTTATTAGAGCTACCGCCGCATGGAAATCTAATGCCCAGTACTTGCTTGAAATTGAACTCAATGAAGCAGGTGATATTTTTTTTAAAATTAACTTTATAATAATTATTATATATTTTTATATATAATAATATATAATTTAAATTTATAATATATATACATATAGTTATACTTTCTTTATTCATAAAAGTGTTTCTAATTATATGACCACCACTGTATGTACGAGGGGTGATCCAAAAGTAATGATAATGAAAATAAAACACGGTAATTAAAGTTAAAATAATTATTTATTTTTCTACATAGTCTCCTAACAAATCAATACATTTAGTCCATCTTTTTTCTAAACCCAGGATTCCCTTTGAAAAAAATTCTTTGTCTTGACCCTCCCAAAACGCTTCAACAGCGGCCATTACTTCGCTATCGTCTTCGAATTTCTTGCCTCGGAGTCGTTCCTTGAGCCGAGGAAAGAGGTAGAAATCACTAGGAGCTAGATCTGGCGAATAAGGAGGGTGTTCGAGCAGTTCGAATCCCGTTTCTTGAATGGCAGCCATCGCAACTGCGGCTTTGTGAGCCGGTGCGTTGTGTTGGTGAAACAGCACTCCAGCTCGCAGTTTGCCGCGTCTTTTTTCCTTAATGGCCTCCTGTAATCTTCTTATTTGGTCTGCGTAGTAAGAACCCGTAATAGTGGCTCCCTTTTCCAAATATTCCACCATAATTATACTTTGAGCGTCCCAAAAAACAGATGCCATACCCTTTCCCGCCGAACTTGAAATTTTGAATTTCTTTGGCGTCGGTGAGGAGGCTTGCTTCCAAGTCATCGATTGTTGTTTCGTTTCAGGATCAAAATGGTGGATCCAGGTCTCGTCCATAGTCACAAAACGGAACAAAAAATTTTGTTGATCTGCTTGGAACTTTTCGAGATTGACCTTCGAAATGTCAACTCGATTTTTCTTTTGCTCGTCGGTTAACATTCTGGGTACCCAACGCGCAGAGACCTTTTTCATATGCAACTCGTTCGCAAGGATTCTTTGAACGCTGCCATATGAGATCCCTGTAACCTCAGCTACATGCCTGATGGTCACTCTTCGATCTGCCAACACAAAATCTTCGACTTTTTTCACGTTGTCTTCAGTGAGGGACGTTAATGGGCGTCCTTCGCGATGTTCATCTTCAGTGGATGTTCTGCCCAGTTTAAACTCCTTAGCCCAGCGTGCAACTGTAGAATATGGAGGAGCAGAGTCCCCCAATGTTTCCTCTAAGTCACTGTGTATGTCTTTTGAAGACATTTTTTCAAACAGAGGTAGTTGATGACAGCTCTAATTTCGTTTTTCTCCATGTTGATGTTATCTCTTTGACAGTTTGTATTCAAATGAATGTATCTCCCGGAAATCGTGATCTATTTGTATGATTTTTTTTAGGCTGACGTAGTGAGTATATAAGCAAGCAAAAACTATTTTTTTTGGATTTTTATGCGGACCTGAAGTAACCGATTATCATTACTTTTGGATCATCCTGGTATATACATAAGTATAACTTCAACATACAAATATTCGTAAAAAATATACACATTCAATAATTAATAATCATACAATAATATAGTCACTCAAATAAAAAATGCATTAGAAGCATAAAATATAAAACTTATCTTACTTTTAATTACAAAATGAGTCTTACACGTATAGGAGTTTATTTTCTGTTACTGGCCGCTTGGACGCCTAATTAGAAACATTTTAAAAAAGCATCCATAGCTCGTTCTTTTTTTTTTAAATTGGAGAATAACATTTCTTTCTTTACTTTTTCTATTATTTTGGCGGCAATTCAAAATTTAATCTGAATTTTATTTTGTTCAAAATGGGCAAAAATAAAAGTTGTGACGCGTCAACTAGGCAAATAATTGTTAATTTACATATAGATCATAAGTGCCCACTTACGGACGGAGGAATACCTGAGCATTTAAATTGTTCTGTTAAGAAAGTTTTTAATGCAATTGATCATTATAAAATACATGGAACTGTTCAAAATGTTCATAGAAAGGCTCGGCCAAGAAAAACCTCACCCAGAGAAGATACGCTAATCGTTCGTGTTGCTAAAAAAGACCCAAGTAAAGGCTCCAACCAGATTAAAAATGAAGTTTTTTCGCTTGATGATTCGAGAAACATCTCGTCAAGGCTGATACCACGAAGATTAGTGGAAGCTAAATTGTTTGGAGGAATCTCTCGAAAGGTACTGCTTCTTACCAAGCAACACCGAGAGAAGCGATTATTATTCGCTAAAAATATGTTAATTGGACGGTACGAGAATGGGAAAAAAGTGTTGTTTCCAGATGAAACAAAAAGAAATATGGTAAATTCCGATGGAAAGCGCTATGTTAGACGTCCTGTAAGCAATGCTTTTAATTATAAATACACAAGGAGTATAGTCAAGTACGGTGGCTGTAACATTAAAGTTTGTCACCCCTGAGGACTATGATTGAATGCCTCGCTTCCAGTAAAAGGGGTCTCCGGTGCTCTACACTCACCATACGAAACACAGCAACATTAAGCATATTTGTACCCCAATGTAAGACACAATGTATATGTTTTTCTTATTTTTTATGTACATTTGTAATTACAATAGTATTAAGGAAACTTCTCGAACGTTTAGACGCACCGCACACGACTAAAGCAGTGTTAGACAGCTTACGCTCCTCGGCTTTGGAACTATGCGACTTGTACTTGAGTCCCAATCGTCCACCTATAATGGGTGTGCCGGAAAACTGTCACTCGGACTTGGTGAGGAAGATCACTATGGAGGGCGAGGAATTTACTAACAACCCTGTTGTGTGTTTTGATGACGTGCAAAAATGCGTTTGTGACGCTTTGGAGGTATGGAAATTTGTTTTCTTCTTTCTTTTTTTCTTCTTCTTTTCTTTTATTAGTCTGTAAGAATGCACTACTCGACATAGGTTTCTTGAGAAGTATAACCTATTTAAAAAAAAGAATCATTAAAATCGGTTCTCAATCTGCAAAGATATATGAAATTCCTTACACAATAGTCCAATATGAACGTTTTTCCCTGCTTCCACCCTTGGAGACGGATGTTTTTCTTCAAAATTTAATGGGACTACCCTTCAGGTAGTAACCTATTTAATAAAAAAAGAATAATTAAAATCGGTTCACAATCTGCTAAGATTCGCGTAACATTATGTATGTTGCAAAAAAAAAGAACACACTCAAATTTAGAACCTACTCCTTTTTTAAAGTTGGTTAAAACAGCCTTTTTCTAAATGCATATGAAAATATATACGGTACTTACAAAACACAATTTTAAACATATTTTGTCTGTCTTTCTGTTTGTTCCGGATAATCTCCGAAATGACTGGACCGATTTTGACGGTTCTTTCACTGGCAGATAGTTGATGTTATAAGGAGTAACTTAGTTACTTTTATTCTAGAAAAAGAATTAGGGTTCCGCGCAAAAAAATTAAAACCCGAAATTACAAGCGAGCTAAGTCGCGGGGCTGTTTCCCGCGACTTCTAGTTTTATATACTAATACTAATAAATAATATTTGATTTTGAACCACTAAAGTGTATCCATCCATCTATAACAGCTCATAAAAGTCCACTGTTCCACTGAACATAGGCCTCCTCCATAGATTGCCTCATAGGGAGGATTTTGCAGTACCTGCAGTTTTTTAAATATTTTTAGTTGTTATCCACAAGATGTCGTTGCCTGTCTCCTGTTTCAGTTTCCCACTGTTGCCTCTTGCGACTCCCACGGGACGATTTACGAGGGTGACACTGAAAGTTCTTAGAAAATCAAAAACTGAACAAACTATCAAGTTATTAGTTTTATTATATCTTTTCAAAATAGTGTCCATTTACATCAATACATCGTTGCATCCGATGGAACTATTGAGAAAAGCACTTTGCCCACTCGTCCTTATGGGTCTCTTCGACGGCATTTTGAAACGCAGCTGATTCCTCGGCGTCCATAAAGAGTTTTCTTCGAAGTTTTTCTTATATTTTCGGATTTATTATATATTTGGGTCTATACGGCGGGTGACCCAGTAATTCCTGGTCTGACGTCGCCAAGTAGTCGATTGTTTGCTTGGCGGTGTGCGACGAGGCGTTGTCGTGGTGAAGGAGGATCCTATTTTTTTTTAAAAACGTCACCCCACACTTGGATTTTCTCCTGTGTCATGAAGGCAGTTTACAAACATAAATTGCACAAGGACAAACATCCAGACCCGGAACAATTATTTGTAGGCCTCACAAATACTTGTTCCGTGCGGGATTCGAACCCGCGGCCCCCAGCGCAACAACTGATTGCTAAGTCACTGCGCCACTGAACCGTCAGCCGAGGTCGTTTCTCCCGAACTCTTTCCCAAGACAAGTGGCAAACAATTGTTAGTGTTCCACTCTACAGTAACTGTTTTTCGATACTCTAAAACAATTGTTGTGTAATGACCTGTCCTTCCGAAGAACGAGGCCATCATCTTTTTTTCCACGCTTCAACCTCTCTTCACTTTAGTTATCAACTTCTCGGAAGGAAACACCCAGACAGCAGACTGTCTCTTAGTTTCAGGATCGTAACAATAAATCCAGCTTTCGTCACCCGTAAGTATGTCGAACACAGCATTTGAGTCAGCTCCGTGAAATCTTTGGACCATTTCACGACACCAATCAACACAACGGAGTTTTTGGGCCTCTGTCAAATTATGAGGTGTCCACCGGTCACAAAGCTTCCTGACCGCTAAATGTTCATGGAGGATTTTGTGCACTTGACTCATTCCGATGCCTAAGCTTGTCCGAACCTGCTGATAAGTCACTCTTTTGTCAGTCTCTATCATACGCCGTACAACACTGATGTTGTCTTCAGTCGTCGCCGTAGAAAGCCGTCTCTCACGCAGATCATCGTTGAGATTAGTGCGACCACGTTTAAACTCATTAACGAATTGTAAACAGTGGCACAAGATGGGGCTTCATTGTGAAAGGTCAATCGAAGTCTATCATAACTTTCTTGTTGACTTAAATGACATTTGAAAATTTTCTCGCGTTAAATTCATGCTGACGTGACACAGACAATTTTCAATTTGCGCCAAATCGTAAACAAATGACAAATTAATAAATGACATACACTATAATATTGGAAAAGAGTTCCATTTTCAAAATTTGAATTTATTTTTTATTATATCGTTTACAGGCGGCCAGTTCTATAAACTTTCAGTGTCGCCTTCGTATGGTGATGGATATTCTAACACTGCCACTACACATGGACTAAACAATATATTTATTCTAATCATGTGTACAAATATTTAAGTCAGTGTCATTTACCTTTTTCCATTTTGTCATAAGAACATAATTAACAGTATCAAAATAATTTATAAAATAGTAATGACCGAGTTTTCATTTATTGTATTGTATGATAAGCCACGGTACCCCCTTTATTATCATAATATCTTGGAATTTAATAGAATTTATAAAATGTAATATATTTTGCTAATGTTTAATTATTTTGTTCTTATTTTATATTTTTAGTGTATCTTATAATTTATTACTTAACTTTTGTTCAGGATGACCCATCATGGCAGTCAGACTTTATGATGGACAATGAACAAGACAGTTTGGAAGGAAGAAATAGGTAAATACATAAAAGTATAGGTAAAACTTATAAACATCCCATACCTAGGCACAGGCCTCCTTTTCTGAGATGGTCATGGAGCAATTAGATCTACCCACTGCTCCAGTGTGGGTAGCTTTACATGTTCTTAAAATATTTTATTCTTCCGTCAAGCAGATTTCCTTATTATATTTAAAGTATCATATTTTCATTCATGGTAAATCAGCTCTTAAAATTGCAATTAACAATTTCATTGGAGACAACTGATGGCGGGATCGAACCTGGGTTGCTTACATACTGTAAAATATATGGCGATTGCTTGCTTAGTTCTCCTGAGCTACCACATACATAAATCATAACATAGTATATTTTTAAAAATACTCCGTCTTGTGCAACTATATCCTTTTTAAAGATTATGTTCGACCTTTCAGAGACGCAAATAAAAGAGACTACAAAGCAGACACAAAAAAGTATGCAGGTAAAAATATGTAATTTGTAAACTAATTATATTTAATTTTCGTTATTCAATTAAATTTTACTTGTTACGGCGAATATTGATGAAGATTGACGGCTGGCCATATGAAAAAGCTATTTCTCAGCGAGCTATAGAGAAGGCTATCCTTGGAGTTTCTTTGCGTGATCATATTGCAGCAGAACCAAAATAGTCGATATAATCAAAATGATCATTACTCATAAATTGTAATGAATGAAAGAAAATGAAGAAAAGATTTTCGAGTAGCAACCTCGTATCAGCAAGTGAAGTTTAGGGTACTTAACCACTTGATTAGTTGCTCGATGAATATAGGCTACAACTGTTTTGTTGGAAAATCTATAAGAAGGTCGGTGTGTTCAGTGGATCACTTGTGATGGGCTGTGTAACGATGATGATGATAACAACTAATAGGTACGAAAAATACGGGATATGACTGAAAAACTACAAAATACCCACTTTAAAATATTGTCACAATAAATATGCTACGATTGGTAAAGGAAGCAGCCTGTTTTACTTAATTAAAGATGTATGCATATTCATAGATTTCACCACGGTGACATTTAAAATTGGATTATTGTTTTTTTTTGCTGCATGTCAAAATAAATAATAGAATGAAGCGTTACCTTGCGGAAATTCATTATACCTATTTGGAAATGAAAATTGAGTTACGAAATCGTTACATTTCCAAATATTTTTATAGGTAGCGTTGATGCCTTTTACGCTTACCTACTGTTACCGTTACTGCCTATCCTAAAAATTAACTGCTGAATATAGGCCGAGACCATAGATTGCCTCACAAGGGGGATATTTGCCATAGACGCCACGCTTGGCGGGTGGAATTGGCATGAGATTTTTTTAAATCTTTTAGTTGTTATTAGGAAGTCGCTGCTGACCATCTTCTGGTTTGTTTTCCTCTGTCGCTTCTCTCGACATCTGCGGGACGATAAGGGTTAGTGCATATTCTTACACCGCCATACGGTCACTTCTCTAACGTTTACTACCTGATATTTGTTTCAAGTTTCAAACAAATAAATTATAAGGTTATATATTACATAGCCAGTAAGTTTTAATTTTTCTACAGAAAAATGCAAAAGAATGATGAAGTCGTGTTTAACGCAATTGCCAAAGTTATTCCTTAAGTCCAAGTTCAAACACGACATTTCCAAAAAGTCTCACACCTTTCCTAGATCCTTTAACCGAAGGATGCCATGCAACAAGAACCATACTTTGCCGAAGTGCAGTAATTTTGGTATTTATTTTAATTTTTGCCTTGTAGCCTCAATTGTTAGAGTAAAGATGAATTTATTTATTTAATTTAGCGTGCCATTCGTTTATTTTCATTTTCCTACCTGATATTCTAAATATATCCCTCATTATATACACGTATTTTTTAAAATTAATTTTACTTAGTTGTTAAAATAAGTATATACAAAATTATGGCAGCTCTTCGGGCTTACGAACAATTGTTTTGGTTTTGTGTGTTTGACCATGTATATTAAAAGCCTTCACGGCACATGAAAAATACTAAGGTGTATCATTTTTTATTTAAAATGAAAATGGTAGCGATTGTTAATCATTTACATTCCTTATAATTATTCCATTAAAAGAGCAATTATAAAAAGCAGTAACGCATTATGTAATAATATTGGATTGATTTGCATATTAGTGACATTGGTTTGCTAGAATCTAGGGTTGAATAATTAAACAACCCTGTATTTATTTTGTTTAATATACCCCCTATTGTTTTTAGGAGATAAGTAGGTGATAATGTAATTAGAGCATACATAGCTACAAGCTTGGTAGGTAATTTGTAGTATTATGTTTTATATTGAATAGTAATGTGTAAAATTTAACAATTATTATATATTTAGTGTATGTAAACTTTATTTTGCAGGTAATGACATACCTATGTCGGGTTCAAGACATAATCGATCCCGTTCGGATGTCGTAGGAAATCTGGCTCAAAGGATGATCAATGAAAGTGCGGGTGCGTTGCTAGTTATTATTACATAGTGTTCTATTTTGGTCATCTAGATTTGATTAATTTTAATGAAAATCCGCATGTATTGCACTGCATTAGAATTCTAAGAAAAATATTTTTATTTAAAAAATGATATTGTATAATTATTGTTGTATAATATAATACAACAATGTAATAATGCTGCCAAATGTGGATGGGAGGGTCTATAATACCATGTTTTTATAGCTAAATGTCTTATTTGATTTCAATTCCATTTAACCGAACAGGAAGGAATTTATATAGTTTATTTGCCAAGAAATGTTTTAAGAAGTGACAGTAATTACGTACGCATAGAGAAATATTTAACTGCCGGTATTAAAATAATGTAATCGTACTGAAGTAGCTCCGTGTGGCGAACGTTGGTGCCGCGTATGCGCTGTCAATGAGGGTATCCACAACTTTTTTGCCACCATGGCGGCGCCACTTAGTAAAGAGGAAATATTTGACAGATTTTATCATAGCGGGGGAAGTTCATTAATTAGAAAAGTGTAATGATTAATGTTTCTTTCTGAAATATAAGTTATATTATACGTTGAGAACACAGAATACATTATATATTACAGACATAGAGAAAACAGCTGATATTTCAGAGTGGCGCTATCTGCTTCTAATTGCAGGAACTAAAAATTTGCCATACATACGTATAATGAGAACCTATATATAGGTTTATTGCGACCGAACTAAGAGAACTGAATTTCCGCCATATTGTGACGTGCTAGCGGGAAAAATACAATTTGTTATTTTAAATTAATATTTCCCATTTACACGTCACAATATGGCGGAAATTCAGTTCAATTCTTAGTTTGGCCGCATTATACATTATTTTGTGTACTGTTTACGTAGGTACTAGAAATATATTAGAAAATATCATAGGGATACGACTGGAAATATATGTACTTACAGAAAATATATTTGAGGGAACACAAAAAAAAAATAAAGAAATAATATGATTAATTTTTATTTTCTCCTCTACATCATAATCCAATCTGGTGCCCTTCAACAATTTAGTAAGGCGCAGGTTGAGCAAAATGTCGCGCTAGTCGTTATTTGTGCGGTTTTTAGGAGCTATCTACTTTTTATTTCAAAGATATATCAACAAATAAAAAACACATTATATTTCTACATAATCTTGATTCCATAAAAGCTATATCCAATTTTTTTTAAAAGGAATAAATATTAATATAATCTCCTTACAACGAAACCACATAAATGTGAAATTATTATTGATAACATGCATCTCCTCGTAAAGTAAGTATTATTTTATTTTGCGATTTACACCAATGGATAGGCAATTTATTAATGAACACTATTTTTATAGTATAATTTATTAATGAACTATAGTAAAATTTTTTTCAAAAGACTAAAATTTGATTTTATTAAGAAATTATTTTAAAATCTGGGCGTATTTACTGCCCACGGGCTTGCTGGAGTCAGTGAGCCCTGAGCTCTTACACGTGGAACCCGTGTCGTTAGAGCGTCTGCCAGCGCACACGCTCACTTCATCTTATCAGTCGATAATATTATAATATTATTACTTATTAGGTTATTTATAGGTAGTATTATTTGTTTGTTTTGGGTATAATTTTTCGTATTACTTATACATATATTTGTTGTGTTTTTTACTGTGCGATGAAGCTTTTTGCGTGTATTTTCTTTGAAGTAAATGCAAATAAAAAAATTAAGCACCATTAGCATGTAAGGTTCGAATCCATAATTAAAATTTCGATAAATATTATAATTTACACTATAAAAGGCTAATTCAATATTATCACCCAACCACAATATCTTATTAGATATAGTACTGCCTCGTTGGTCTAGTGGTTGTAGTAGTGCGACTGCTGATCATGAGGTCCCGGGTTCGAATCCTGGGTCGGGCCAAAAAGTCAGTTATGAGTTTTTCATTTATGTTCTAAGTTATAATTAGTATTACTAAGTTATAGTTTTTTGCTAAAATATAGTATATTATTTATTGCTTGTTTTTTCTTCTTTTTCAAAAAATAATTGAGTACATAAGGTGTTCTATACTTATAATTCGGTAAAAAGTATCTAGGTAGGTACTAATATACCTACTTTTTACTATCTAAAATTTTTTAAAACTAAATTTAACTAAAAAGACTAAACTGACCATTTATTTTTTAACTCAAAACAGGACATGGGTTTATTTATACTCTAAAAACTATAACTTTATACAATTAGTGTTCACTATAAAATTATATTCGGTATAGACGGTAATTATTAAATGCAACATATTTTTTTAATTATTAATTACATTTGTCAGTGGATTAAATTTGCTTTAATAAAGTTGGTGATGATTTTAAATAAGAATAAAATTCTGCTCAAGTTTTTATATTGTTATCTTTGTTAACAACATCGCCTTTAGAACTCTAGAACCGTAAGTGTTTCTTTCAGACGTCCACAATTTATTCAAAATAAAAAAATACTCTTTCTACCGGAGCATTCGTACCAGGTAGACATAAAATATATTCGATTAAAAAAAAATTATGTTGAAGATTGTTAACTTTGAATACTTCCATCCAACGAGTTACGGGACAATTTTGTGTCCCGGAGCTTTGTTTGGGGACAATGGGACAGGTGACCGAGAAAAGGGACAGTCCCGTTCAAAACGGGACGTATGGTCACTTTAGCTATAACCCGGTGACGGCTCCGTGGCGCAGTGGCTTAGCAATCAGTTGTTGCGCTGGGGGCCGCGGGTTCGAATCTCGCACGGAACAAGTATTTGTATGGCCTACAAATAATTGTTCCGGGTCTGGATGTTTGTCCTTGTGCAATTTATGTTTGTAAACTGCCTCCACGACACAGGAGAAAATCCTAGTGTGGGGGTAATGTTTTTTTACAATTGAAATTGAAAGATTGAACCCTTATACTTCTTGTTGATTTTTGTATTACCTTTATTAAAGTTACCCTTATGTATAAATAAATATAATTAAGTATGTAGAAATAAAATTGATTTTCATCCTCATCAATCATTGGGGCGAGGATAATGTCTGCCAGCATAAGTAATAAGCAGGCTAAGTTACAAGGTGCTCAGTTCAAAAATTTGTAGGTAGGTATGTTACTTTTCAATACGTGACACGTAAAAATTAACAATAATCAAAAACACATCTACGAAACATCCTATTTATTTATTTATTCTTTATTGCACCAAATATTTGTACAAAAGGCGAGCTATCTATTTATTTACCTATAGTGAATAGGTATCTTTTAAACTCACAATTTTCAATGCTTCATTTTTAATTTATAATTAATTATAAAATTTTATAATTAGATAATATATGAAAATACATAATTCAAATATAAATCAACTAATATACCGAATAAAAAAATAATTATTTCCATAAATTAGTTTATTGATGTTGAAAAAATAATACTACGTTCTTACCTACAATAGGTGGGCAATATATTGATGCGAGCGGCGCGCCGCCGGCAAAATGCTCAAGGTCGTTCGCATGGAGTAGCCCCTTAACATCACGACGCCAGTTGAAAATGAAGAACTTTGAACTCAAATCAAAGATATAGTTTGATAGTTCGGACTTATGTTTGTCACATTTAATGAAATCCATATTAATGGTTATACATAAAACTGTTTTTATATATTGCCTTATATTTTTCAAGATGAAGATTGATGTTTGACAGTTGACGTAAATCACAGTGGACGGATGTCAGGGTTGCGGAGTGAATAAAACTTTTTGAAGTCGTTGTGATACCAGACTAATTTATTTTTTGTCAAAAGTGCCATCTAGATTTAATTGCAGTAACTAAAATTCATTAGGTTTTTTTGTATTGGACAAGAATATTACTAAGTGTTAATACGGTGGTTCAGAAAATGGAATTGATTCGAGAAAATTCAAGAGCAATGATTTATTATGACTTTCGAAGTGGTTTAACACAAAAACAGTGCGTTGACCGGATGATTTCTGCATTTGGTGATGAAGCCCCATCCTAAACCACAATTTATCGCTGGTTTGTTGAATTTCAACGTGGACGTGTCTAGCTCAGTGATGATCCCCGTCAAGGTCGTCCAAAAACTGCAGTCACCCAAAAAAACATTGATGCTGTGTATAAGCTGATTGAGGAAGATCGACATGTGACATACCGCGAAATTCAGGCAACTTTAGACATTGGCATGAGTCAAATACAAATAATCTTGCATGAACAATTAGGTGTAAAAAAGTTGTTTTCCCGATGGATACCGCATTCGCTCTGTGAAGAGCAAAAAGCAGCTCGCGTTACTTGGTGCGTCAGAACTCTCGAAAGATTCCACGCAGGATCCTCAAATGCTGTATACAACATCGTATCAGATAACGAATCCTGGATATACGCGTACGAACCCGAAACAAAAAACCCGTCACGAGTTTGGGTGTTCGAAAATGAGTTAAAGCCAACAAAAATTGTTCGTTCACGGAGTGTTGCAAAAAAAAAATGGTGGCCACGTTTGTCTCCAAACCCGGCCATGTTACGACTATTCCTCTTGAGGGACAAAGAACGGTTAATGCAGAATGGTATGCTAGCATTTGTTTGCCACAGGTCGTTTCTGAACTCCGTAAAGAGAACTGCAACCGCCGCATCATCCTCCATCACGACAATGCGAGTTCTCACACCGCACATAGAACAAAAGAGTTTTTAGAGCAAGAAAACATAGAATTATTAGACCATCCACCGTACAGCCCCGACCTAAGCCCTAATGATTTCTATACTTTCCCTAAAATAAAGAATAAATTGCGTGGACAGAGATTTTCATCACCTGAAGAAGCTGTGGACGCCTACAAAACGGCCATTTTGGAGACCCCAACTTCCGAATGGAATGGTTGCTTCAATGATTGGTTCCATCGTATGGAAAAATGTGTCAAATTTCGCGGAGAATACTTCGAAAAGCAATAAATACATTTTTAAATAGTAATGTTGTGTCACTTCCTTGATTCCCGAAATTTTCAGTGTCGCCCTCGTAAGAAGATATATATTGTGTTATTCCTTTTTTTTAACTCATGGTTGCTCTTTATATTACAGGTACATCTAATTTATCCTCTACACACACGAACTCACTGTCACTGTCTCATTCGGAAATCACTCAAAGAGCGAAAAATCTACACTCCCCTCTTACAGCGTACATAATTGAAACTGGCAAGTAATATTTTGGATTTGTTTATTTTATAACATGAAAGTGTCAAACGGTCTAACAGTTCACTTGATGGTGAGAGGTTATTGGTCCAAGGACATTCGCAACCAACATGAAATAAAGGAGGCAAAATATATTGATGAAGTGAAAGGCATGTCAAAAACATTTTTTTTATTGACCGACTGGATAATAATATCGTGGTAGATATGAGCTCACCGATATTGGTGTACTGAAATGTATGGGGCGACCTATGATGCCCCGGTTGCCGCGAACTAAGAAAATTTTTATTTCATTACTGCGCACAAAGAGTTTACAATAACAAGTTTTCAACATGTTAAACACAAAAAGTGCTGTTGTTCTTTCACACAGGGTTATGCGAGATGTAGTTCTTTTTTCTCTTTTCGAGTACCTATTGCCTAACGATTTACACTGGTTAGTTTATGGTTATCCAAATGTTCTAGTCAAAGTCTGAGTAAATATTAACATTTTATAAGAATTATAATATTCTATTACGTATTCATTAATTAATTACAAGCTCTTCACAAGTCTACTGCTGAATATAGGCCTCCCCTAAGGAATGCCACCAAGCACGGTCCTGAGCCATCTGCATCCATCGACTTCTTGCATGTCTTACCAGGTCGCCATTCCATCTAGTAGGGAGCCGCCCGTCACTTCGCCTACCGGTGCGAGGCTGCCACTCGAGAACGTTTCTTCCCCATTGGTAGTCGGTTCTTCGAGCTATATGGTCGGCTTATTGCCACACCAGCTTACTAATCCGTTGGGCTGTGTCGGTTGCTCTGGTTCTACTGCGGATATCCTCGTTTCTAAGTTTATCACGCAAAGAAACTCCGAGCATAGCTGTCTCTATAGCTCGCTGAGCGACTTTGAGCTTCCTCATTTGGCCAGCAGCGAGGACCACGTGTATACTCTTCTCATATTTGGTGGCTTTACCGTGATTAGTGATAAGACTTGTCCGAAGTTTTACCATAATGTTAAAATGTAGCTCCTATAGTGTGTCGATAACTGTCGACAAAATATTAACATTTTATGTGCTTTTAGCGCTCGTGCAGGACAAAGGGCGGACATTCGGTATTTATGCCATAGCCGTTACAAGAATGTCTGACAACGAAGTGTGGCATATATATAGGAGGTACAGTGATTTCCATGATTTGCACACATCAATAAAGGAAAAGGTAATTAATAACTTATGCTATATAATATGTATTATAAATTATCTAAATTATGCAAAAAACGCTCTCCGTGACGGCTTTCACTGTAGAAATCCCCTCTCCCTCCCCGTTTCACTCATTCATTCCGTTACGATTCACTCATGCAATATAATATTACTTTCCAATGCTCATCCTTGCCACGTTTTTGGATCTGTAACATCTTCATCTGTAATGCATTATGAAATCAGGTTTTAATTTTGTTTGCAGTGGCCAGAGTTAGCAAATCTTCCGTTTCCGGCCAAGAAAACTTTCCAAAACACTTCGAGGTCGGTCCTAGAAAGTCGTAAGAGGATGTTGAACAATTACTTACAAAGTTTAACGAGTATAGCAATGGACGCGAGGTATATGACTCTTTTGTCTCAGGACTATTTGGGAGGGTTCTTGAGTCCTGAAATTCAGACCGAGCGGCATGGTAATTCGGTACGCCATATTTGTAATTTTTGTAACACGTGCTCGTTTATTTTTGTGATGAAGTTCTTGTTAATATTTTGCAATTTGTTTTTAAGTTTTACTGTATCCATTACAGCCTATTAAAGTCCACTGCTGAACATAGATCATGATCAAGAGAACATGATCAAGAAGTTGCTATGGCTTTTGAGAAACATTTTACTGATGTTCCTTTTTTGAAAACAAAATCATTAAATTCTTCTCCTACTGTCGCCGAATCATTACTCAAAAATGTAAAGGCTTGTTCAAATACTTTTAAATTCCATAGGGTACTGCCAAAAGATATCGTTAAATATTTTAAAACTATTGATTTTAAGAAAACGACAGACTTATGGGGGATTTCCGTTAAAGTTATTTTATCTATAATAGATACATTAGTACCTTATCTAGCCACTATATTTAATATAAGCGTCGAATCTGGTGTATTTCCTGATTTAATGAAACATAGTAAAGTCATACCTATATTTAAATCTGGTAGTACATTAGACCCCGCCAATTTTAGACCAATTTATGTACTACCAACATTAAGTTAAATTTTTGAAAAAAATATTTTAGATCAGATGTTAAGTTTCTTTAATATTAATAAATTGCTACATAAAAATCAATTCGGTTTTACAAGGGGTCGCTCGACAACTGACGCTGGAGTTGAGCTTATTAAACATATTTTTTGTGCATGGGAGAAGTCAGAGGATGCTTTGGGTATATTTTGTGACCTTTCCAAGGCCTTCGACTGTGTTCACCATGAGACATTAATCAGGAAGCTACAGTGCTATGGTGTCAAGAACACAGCGCTTAAACTTATTATTTCATATTTAAGTAATAGAAAACAGAAGGTTATTATCAATGGTAAAAGTTCTTCCGGGTCACCTGTACTAATGGGTGTTCCTCAGGGCTCGATTCTCGGCCCATTCCTGTTTCTGGTGTATATTAATGACTTACCTCACCTTGTAGGGGATAGTCATGACATAGTATTATTTGCTGATGATACTTCCTTGATTTTTAAACTTAAACGTCAATCATTTAAATGTGACGAAGTGAATAATGCTATATCAAAATTAGTGCATTGATTTAACGTTAATAATCTGCATTTGAACGGAAATAAAACTAATTGTGTTAAATTTACAACAACGAATGTTAAAAATCTGAATACCAATGTGTTTTAAATGGGGAGGAATTGAGCCCTGTTGTATCCATTGTTTTTCTTGGCATCACTCTTGACGCAAAGCTCCAGTGGGGCCCCCATATATCCAAATTAGCAAGCAGACTAAGTTCTGCAGCCTATGCTGTAAAAAAGATTAGAGGTCTCACTAGTGTCGAGACAGCTAGATTAGTTTATTTTAGTTATTTTCATAGCATAATGTCTTATGGGATTTTGCTATGGGGAAATGCCGCTGATTCAGAAACTATTTTTGTTTTACAGAAGAGGGCCATTAGAGCTATTTACAATCTAAAACCGAGAGAGTCTCTTAGAGATAAATTTAAAGAAATTAATATATTAACTTTGGCCTCTCAGTATATTTACGAAAATTTAATGTATGTTCACAAAAACAAAGATAGTTTTAGTAAAAGAAGTGATATACATTCTGTAAACACTAGGAACAAACACAAGCTAGTGATACCAGTTTCTCGACTCCACAGAGTCAGTAATTCATTCTTGGGGCAATGTATACGCTATTACAACAAGGTCCCGGAAAGTGTACAGGTTCTCTCTATTACCAAGTTTAAATGTTTTATTAAGCTGAAACTGTATAAAAAGGATTATTATAGTATAAATGAATACATGGTTGATAATAACCCCTGGGAATGAGGTGATCGCTTCCAAGCAGTTTCTAAAATAAATTTTGTAAATAGGTCGTAATCATTTATATTGTAAAATTTATTTAAAAAAAAAAGAGTCCCGCTGGGTTTCTTGCTGGTTCTTCCCAGGACAGAGGGTTTTTTTCGAACCAGTGATAAAGTAAAAAATGACTTTCAATAAGAATTACACATGTAATGTATATTGAATAAAAAATATTCTATTCTATTCTATTCTATTCATAGGCCTCTCCCGTTGATTGCCTCATTTGCCATAGTTACCACGCTTGGTAAGCGTGTTAGCAACCGTAGTTTTTTACTTTTAGTCGTTATTAGGAAGACTCTATTGGCCATCTCCTGATTTGTTTCCTCTGTCGCCTCTTACGACACCCACGGGACGATATGGGGTAATAGATATTCTTATACCGCCACTACGCGGTCAAAGTATAGCCTTACGCCACGCAACATAGTGTAAAAAAACCGACCAAATGCAAGTCGGACTCGTGCATGAAGGGTTCCGTACCACTACACACGTTTCTAGTAGTGGGGAGCCACCTTTAATTTTTAATTTATTTTTATTATTTGTTGTTATAGCGACAACAGAAATATACCTTCTGTGAAAATTTTAACTGTCTATCTATTAGTGATCATTAGATACAGCCCGATGACAGACGGACGGACGGACGCACGGACAGACGGACGGACAGCGGAGGCTTAGTAATAGGGTCCCGTTGGTTACCCTTTGGGTACGGAACCCTAAAAAAATGATTTTATTTGTTTCTTTAATAATTTTAATTACCCTTGCAAAAGTAAGTAGTAAGTAATATAAGATGTCTTACACGCTTGGGGCTGCTTCCAGTCGCTTATCAGAGGTTTTAGATCTGGCATAATGTATGATATACTTATACTATCTTATATATGCCAGAACTATCGAAGGCTGCAATATTATTTTGGACGCTTCCGAAATCTCTTGTTCTATCTGAATAAACGTTTGTCTTACGATGATGTATTTGTGGATGATTAATATTTCTAAATCATATATTTTCAACTTTTTTTGGTAGATTGATGCTCTTTTCGTGAATTCTCTCAGAGCCGGGATGAGGACATTGAAGAACATGCCGGATCAGTTTGTTAACACCGTGGACGGTGTAATGGATGGTAATATACTTCTTTATACGCATTTAAATTTGTGAAATTCCTCTATTTCAGCTCTTAAAAGTACACTGTTAGATAACAACCTCCCCCGTTGTTAGGAAGATTTGCCTTAATCGACACGCTCGGCGGGCGAATTGACTGACGCAGCACCAGAAGTCTCGCATCTTTGACGCTGCTGATCGTTGAAGGGTTGGGTATTTTAAGTCTGACATAAACAAAACTAACCGTTTTGTTTATGTCAGACTTAAAATACCCATCGCCATCTATCGGAAGTCATAAGATTTTCTGGAATTTTCGATAGTCGCTTCTCAAGACACACGCAAGACGAAATGAGATTGGATTCTCTTACATTGCCACTATTTTTATATAATCTTAAGGAAACAAATAAATTAAACAACTCCAGTTTATAACAGTAGTCATATGAGTAGGCGGAAAACAACATTTAAAAGCCGATTTATGTCTGCATACACCTAATTGCTTGGACCTTCTGCTGAAAAAAGACCCAGACAGGCACTCGATATCTGTCTCAGCTCCGCTGGGATTATCCGATCTTTGTCTGGTGAAATCCGTATCGATGATCTCTCCTCCGGATGACTGTCCAGCGGGCACGAGGAGAGTATGGCGCTACGAGTCAGCAGACTGGGATGGAATGAGGCACTTTTTTGCATCCTATCCGTGGCGGCAAGTGTGTTTCTCTTCGGATGAGCCCTCCTGCTCTGCCAATGCCGATGTGATACGGAAGGGAATGGAATATTTTATTTCGTTCTCCGACATCCCACTCGGTCACAAGTCTCTGCCCTGGTATAATGCGGACTGTGCTCGTGCTGAGGCCCGCAAAGAGTCCGGCCTACCGGAACGGGTTCTAGCTCGCGATCGCAAAGAGAGCATTTAATTCTGCTGCCAAGTCCTGCAAGCGGGTTCTCCGCAGGGCACGATTCGAAAATATCAGTCGTGTAGGGGCCAGACTTGCTCCCTACTCTGACGAAGGCTATCGAATTCAGCTTCTGCCGTCCCTCATTTCCCGCCATGCAGAAGCTTGATGGAACACTGGCTCACTCCGCGACTGAGAAAGCAAATTTATTTGCATCTCTGTTTGTGAGCAATTCTCTTCTAGATGCTGGCTCTAAACAACCGCCAAAACCTATCCCGCTGTGATTCTTCGATGCCCAAGGTCACTATGCATATGAAAGAGTGACATAGAACTTTGCAAAATCTAGACGTGAACAAGGCCAGTGGACCTGATGGTATTCCTGCAGGGGTATTAGTACCCCTCTAAAGCTTTGTTCGCCTGAGTTGTATTTTTTTTATAGGATAAGGGTGAAAAACGAGCACACAGTCTACCTGATGGTAAGTGGTTGCTGCGGCCCATAGACATCTACATCTATCCTCTGTTACAGATCAACATGTAGATGCGTGTTCACCCGTGAGGATTAGAATGGAATGCCTCATTTCCAGTAAAAAGGGCCTCCGGCCACCTGCACTCACCAAGCGAAACGCAGAGGTAAACCTCTACTTCACGCTGGTATTCTGTGAGGTCGTGGTACCACCCCGGTTCGAGCCGGCCCATCCATGCGACAGCAAAAGCTGCCGCCTGGCTCTACCACTGTTAAAACTGTCTCCTGTTCTGACGTGCCTGTACCATCTGTCTCATAAAACTCGAACGGTGCCCAAATCTTGGAAGCTTGCCAATGTGCAACCAGTACCCAAAAAGGGTAGTAGAAGTGCTTGTACAGTAGGGATACGATGGCTATCCGAGTACAGAACCCGAGTACGAAACCTATTCAATTGCAGAGAGGTGTAAGACAGAGTGACGTTATATCCCCGAAACTCTTCACCGCTGCGTTGGAAGACTTTTTCAAGCTTCTGGACTGGAAAGGATACGGTATTAACATCAATGGCGAGTACATCACTCACCTTCGATTTGCCGACGATATAGTCCTTATGGCAGAATCGCTGGAGGACCTAAGCACTATGCTCAATGACCTCAATAGTGTTTCCCAACGGATAGGTCTTAAGATGAACATGGACAAAACAAAGATCATGTTTAATGTCCATGTCACACCTATGCCGGTAGTTGTTGGGAGCACTAAGCTCGAAATTGTCGACGGGTATGTTTACCTGGGACAAATAGTCCGACTAGTTAAGTCCAACTTCGACCGAAAGGTCAATCGACGAATTCAACTCGGTTTGGCAGCGTTTGGGAAATTACGGCACATCTTCTCGTCAGGTATACCTCAAAACTTGAAAACAAGACTGTACAACCAGTATTTTAAACAAGATGAAGCGATATTTCACTCCTGGACAGCTTCTAACTTTGTACAAAGCTAAAGTCCGAACATGCATGGAGTATTCACGTTTGGGTTGGCTCAGCAAATTATCAACTTACCGCACTCGACTCAGTGCAACGCAGAACCATGAGGATTATCGGCGACAAAAAGCTGGTGAAACCGCCGCCAAGTTGCTTGTTTGTCGGTCTTCTACAGATTGTACTTCGGAGAGTGTACCCATGAGGTTCATAAGCTCATATCGCTATCTTCATTCTCCTATCGGAGTACCAGACGTACTGCAGGTTACCACACTTGTTGATAGTCCGAATATTTTTTTTATAGGATAGGGTGACAAACGAGCACATAGTCCTGAATCCTGATGGTAAGTGGTTGCTGTGACCCATAGACCTCTACATCTATCCTCAATAAAGAATCAAAATGCAGATGCGTTGTCACCCGTGAGGACTGAGATGGACTGCTTGCTTTTCCAGTAAAAATGGTTTGTGATTTTCTACCCTCACCATACAAAATACAGCTGTGTTAGGATGTTATTTTACGCTGGTATTCTGTGAGAGCGTGGCCCTCCCCCGGTCGAGCCGACCCATTCGTGCTACAACTATACTTCTAATATAGCTGCATGCACATGGCTCTACTAAAATCGCTATAAGTCATCTTTCGTAAAGCGCACCGCCAAGGAGTGGAATGCCCTACCTGCGTCTGTTCAAGGTGCGTGTTAACAGGCCTCTCCTGGGTAAACTCGCTCCATCGTAAAACACATCTATGCCCTCGGGCCAGACGGAGGTCAAGTGTGAGCCCATTTTTAATAAAAAAATAAATGGTTTTAGCCTGAATGGGTCGGCTCGACCGGGGCTGGTTTTATGTATGTGTTAGGAACTGTCAGTTCTGTGTTTGTAATTCGAAGAAAGTCAAAGTCGGTCACTGTCATTCAATCTGGCGCGAGTTGGTCAATGTCACATACTACTCTAGAAAGTTATACCAACTTGGAAGAGGATGTATCGTGTATAAAAATTATAATTTAAAAAAAAATCGCTCAGTTTGTCAATCAATCAAAAAGTCAATTTTATCGACTAGTTTGTAGGTTATTTCTTTGAAATTAAACTAAGTTGGAAGTTTAGAAAATTGGAAGAGTTTTTAATCAATTCTCAGTATTTACACAGATTAGTTAATAGGTATTTATCGTATTTGCTTTCAATATTACAGTTTGTATTAATAAATGTGGCCATCATGGACTTTGTTTGCAATATATATTTTATGTTGTGTTTTTGTATGTATAAATTATGTGTAATCCACAGGTATTTCGAAGGTGTTCCAAGGAAAAAGCGGTGAAAACTATTACGAAGGAATAAAAAATGATAATTCATCAGACGGTCAAGATGTACGTATTTATCCACAGATGTTTTATATTTAAAATGTTATTTACACGTCTTTTTTTATGAATGTAAAAGTAAAGCGATACTTACTGACATCATATTATTGTACACACATTTTTTGTTTCTGGGGTTTTGGAGCTGGTAAGAGTTCGTCTCGCCCTAGAATTATTTATTTTTAATTTCTTAGATATGCAGGTCTCCGTTAGTGGCCTTACTGAAGTAGCGTGGTGAACTCGTTCCTGCTAAAATCCACTGTTATATACCCCTGTATCTTCTAAAGGGACATAGGCTCTTATTTTTCATGTGTCTGTTTCGCTAACTCTTATAGGATGGCGATGACAGTGTTCCCTTACGTTTGTTGGAAGAGGTCCTCGGCATACGAGGGTTGTGGTTGAGGCGGCGTTTGCTCGCACCGGTTCGAACGTTGATAGCAGATCGCGTGAACAAGTAAGTACTTAAATTAAGTAGTAGGATGTATTATTTGAACGGTTCCCGTTTTAAGTTAAATTAGATTTTATTATTTAAAATACACAAATAACATTTTTATTTGATTAAAGAAACTGACGCAATTTATTGGTATTTCCCTATATTTACTGTAGAATGTTTCGTTTTGCCGCACCGGCTTCCACCGCTGCAGCCATTATACAGCTGCAGTGGTGGATTTACCACGAATGACGAATATAATAAAGATGGTTTGTTTAACAGGAAAGTTTTGGAGTTCGTTTCCTCTCTGACGTCACCTAGAAACGTTGTTCAGTACCTGAAAACTTTCAAGTGAGTATGAGTGTACATGCTATAACATATTTTCTGTCTCATATTAAAATGATAATTTTATATGATTGGAAAAACAATTTGTCGTAGGCAGTGGTTGACTAGTCGCAATCGTTCGAAACTTACAACACGAGATGCTGCGACGAAAGCTAGAACAAGGGTCGCCGCCAAAGTAGCATTACTTTCAGCCGCTTCAGGTAAGACACGCACACTTTCCTTAAAATAAATTGGATAATAATAATATAACTACAATTTTCACTCACAATCACTATTCACTTCTTCAATTATATTTCTACTACTTCTTTATATATATATATATATATCAAAGTGACGATGAAGTTATCACGTTAAATGAAAAGACGTATTCTATACAAAGTTCTTTAAACATACACAACTAAAAAAATATATAACAATTAACATTCTGGGCGCGGTAGCCTTTTTTTTGTTTTAATATTAAACAACATCATGTAAATGCATCAGATATCACCTGATAAATACTAGAAGTTCAAAGACCCATGGCCCGTGAAGGCCAAGAGACCTATATTGTATTATAGTGCAACGTTGCCAATTTTAAATAATCAAATAAAGTAATAAATTAAGCAAAAAATATACTTATATGTAACAAAATAAGGCATAATTCTTATGCGCGATGCGACAAGAATTGGGACGGGGTGTTGGTAGGGTGGGATGTGGTCGATTGGCGCGTGCGACGATAAAGTAAGACAGTAAGTCACTTAGTCCGACGTACTGATGTGACGAGTTGGATTTTTTTTGACTCGAGTTGCTCGAGTTCATATGGCTACTGACTCGAATCGTAACTCGAGTTGACTCGAATCGATGTCTGATTTGTTTTGGGCGCTTCGGAGGGGGTTCGTTGGACTCTGTGACATTTCGTATCTGTGATGGCGGCAAAATGATATCGTTTTGAATTTGACCGGCTTCTGCTCCGCTAATTAAAGAATTAGTACAAATCTGTTCAGGTACATTTTCATTTAGTTCCCTGGGTAAATTTTGTCCAATCGCTTCACTGTACTGAACTAAATGTCTTTTCCTTATATGTTTCACCAATGTTGTAGTATTTCCTACGTCTTTATATACAGATGAACACAATTTGCATTTAACTTTGTTATTATCTTTATTTTTATCAAAGAATTGCCAAACGACACTTCTTTTATTTGGCGCCATTATGAACAAAACACAAAACAAAACAAAAAAGTCCGGTCACGAGCGGATCGCTAACGGTCAATCAACTAATAAAATTAAACAACAAAATGTCAATGGTTTAGTTTTTAAATAATTGCTTAATTTATATTATAGCAAGTTATAGTTATAAATAGTTATAAATAAAATAAACGAAATAAATATAAAAGAAAAAAATGTCAATCAAAATAAACATTCAACGCAGTTTTTCATTCGCGCAATTCCGTTTCCGTTCCGATCCTGGCCGAGCGAGCCCGACTCAACCCGAGTTCTATAATCTATTCGAGTCGATACGAGTACGATGCAACACCTTACGAACGGCGCGCGCGCGTGTGTATCGTAACATAATAAATAATAATTCACTCAACTCGAGTTGATGCGAGTTGCAACGCCTAACGAACCGCGCGCGCGAGCCGCGTGTGTAACTCGGAACAACTCGCGTGTGTAACTCGGAACACCGCGTATAACGTCCGGTTTGCGTTCGGACGACCGAGTTGATTCGAGTTGCTTAAAACTGAACTCGAGTAGACTCGTTTAAGGTTTGATTCGAGTTACTCGAGTCAAATAACTCGAGTCGCACACCGCTAGTCCGACGCCGGCGTCCTTGGGAATGGTTCATTAATCGCTTGACCTAATTTTAGTTTTTCGCGTACACGTCCTTTTAATTTAAAGTTTTTTTTTGTGGATATTTTCATAAGTTTCTTGATTTGTTTGTGATAGGACACGTTAATACTATAATAATAATTGTGTTGAGGAGGTGGTGTGACTATTTGTGCGAAATTTGACGCTTTCTTTTACTGTCTTGTATTTTTTATTTGTGATAGGACTCGTTAATAATAGATAAGTGATATTTAATAACTTAGTGGTGTGTCAGCCCGTGCGCAATTGGACGCTTTTATTTTTTTAAACGTATAACTTTTTTTATTTTAAAATGCCTCGTATCAATTTTACGTCATTGGAATACACCGATATGGTTTTAATTTATGGAGAATGCCACCAAAACGCGTCCCTGGCATTACGAACATACCGAGAGAGGTATAATACCACACGTGTATGTCCTACAGACTCACGGATTTTTATACGGGCAGTTCAAGGCCAGCACGGTCTCCGGATCTAACACCGTTAGATTTCTTTTTATTTATTTATTTATTTATTTATTTGGTCTACCAAATTTTTTTTTATGGGGTTACATAAAAAATGAGGTGTACTCTACTGAAGTAACGACTGTCGAGGACTTAAAAATAAGAATAATGCGGGCTTTCGACAAAATAAAAAATTTTGCAGCCAATGGTGCCCTCTTTCGAAAAGTCCGAAATAATATCATGCGACGATGTCAATTATGCATTCGGGTACACGGCGGACATTTTGAAAATTTAAAAATTTGATTTGTTTCATAAACTTGAGTGATTTCAAGGTTAAAGTGATTATTTGGATAAAAAAATACCATGAAATTTGTGATTTGTTGATAACATCGGATTAGCATCGCCCTACGCGTGCCTAATTACCTATGTATGGGCAAGTCCTAGGACCTAGGTATTATAATATAATTACCTATATCGATGTCGCATGAGCAATGAACCGCTGGCTGCGACGTTGCCGCTTCTACAAGTCATTTCAGGTCAGTTAAGTAATATTATCAAGGATGATTTATTTTATGTGATTTTTTACCCTATTTATTTTGTTTGAAAGATGCATTTTTTATTAGTTTTTATTATTGTTTATTTTATTATTTTAACAGACATATATCAACTTGTATTAACTGTTGTGCTATTTAACGTGATAACCTGGGCGCCACCCAGTATATATATATATATATATTTTCATATCGGTCGAAATGTTATGTAATCATGGTGTCATATATATGTTCAATTACTAAGTGCTAATGAAAACTATAAGTCATCTTTCTGACGTATGATTTTTGTCTTTTTTTTTTATTAGATGATTTAAGACATATTGTGGGATCGGACGCGGCCCGTCGAGGTCTGCTCACAGTCTTCGACATGTTACAAACACAGGAGATCAATAGGCGGTTGATCTTCGTGCTTTTTGAAGGTATGGTGTTTTGTTTTTATTTGAAAAAAAAACTAATTTAATTATAGGTATATTTAACCGGTTAGTAAATTAGTTGTTTTAATGACAATCTTGTTCTAATACAAAGCTCCGAAAATGGCAAGTTCTCGAATTAGAAAATCGTTTTCAGTGTATAAAATATTGCAATACAGTGGACGATAAAAATTATGAGTCCACTGCCGAAGTTGGAGATCATTTCCGGGACACCTGAGGATTCTCTAGTTTCCACGGATAAATGTACACATCGTAGTTGAATCCAGTGAAGTGGAGGTGAAGTCAGTGAAAAGGAAGTGTAGTAACCCAATAGAAACTTTCATCAGACACTATTATTTCGATGAAATCCTGGAATCCTAGATCTCTAAAATACAGTACATTAATCATCTTGGATTTGCCGACGATATACATAGTCATTATGACAGAATCGCTGTAGGACCTAAGCACTATATTCAATTATCTCGATAGTGTCACCTAACGGATAGGTCTTAAAATAAATATGTCCATGTAACACCTATGCTGGTATTGGTTGGGAACATTGCGCCCATATTTGATGACTAGTATGTTGACCTTCGACAAATTGTCCGATTAGTTTAGTCTAACTTCGACCCAGAAGTTGGTAAATTGGCGGATCCAACTCGTTTTGGCTGCGTTCGGGAGATTATGACATATTTCTCAAAACCTGTAAACAAGTGTTAGAATCACTGCATGTTGTCAGTTATGAATTATGGATCTGAGACGTGGTCTTTCAATGCTGGCCGTATGAGGAAGCTCAAGGTTGCTCTGCGTGCTCTAGAGAGGGTTGAGCTTGGAGTTTACTTGCGTGATGAAATTCCTTGTAAGACCTTGTAAGATAAAGAGCAAGTCGATGGATGGAGATGACTCAGAACAGTTTTTTGTTGCATTTCTGGTTTGACTCGTTGTATTAGATGGATGAATGTATATAATGTGCCTTTTTTTGTTCCAGCCACTCTTATTAACCTATTCCCCGACAACAATTTTCAAGAGTTGTTCAGGAAGCTTTATTCAAATTCCTCGCGTGTTTCAGCGAATAAGAAAGGTGTTAATTTATGAATGTGTTCTTTTAGCTAATTTGTAAATAAATGAAAAAAAAAAACCATTAAGTATCTCGAAAATCGTCCAGTATTAGACCGGATGTACACGCCAAATGTTTGAGATTGTTGTATGTATACGTATTGCTTAAAATATGATTTTTATAAAAATCATTACTTAATACGTTTGAATTTATATTACTGAAATAAAAACTAAAGTTATAGACGATTCGATGTTTAAGAAAAAAATCTTAAACATCGGATTTGTCAATAACTTAGTAACATAAGGCAAAAACCTATGAATTTAATTTTGTTTAAACTGTTTTTAATTCGCCGCTAAAATAAATTTTTTGTTGAAAATAGTCCACATTTATATATGGTACAAAAACTTCGAACGATGCTTATTAATAAAAAGAGATAAATATAAAACTTACATTAAGATAGAAGAAAGCACCAATACATTGTGTAAAATGTTTTTCAAATACTTTTCTTGAAAACTTGCAAAATAATTTATCCTTCGTTTTCGCTACAGAACCGATTATAACTGTATATTTATTAATTTTTACTTACAAACGTAAACTTATGTTAATTGAAAGGTTAGTGTCAAACGTTGTTAAAATTATATTTTTATAATAATTAGCAAATTGTACTTTATTATAGTGCTATCTCAGATAAACAAACAAAGTGAGACGGAACGGTACGTACTTTTCATTTGGCGCGTAAATAGTGTTCTGTCTAACTTTCTTTGCTTGGTGTGAGATTGCTATCGAGAGAAAGCGGTACCAAATTGAATGTCTAAAATTGTGATATTTTATAAACTAAACTCATTATTTGTTGTTGAAATGTGTCATGAATTGTTGTATACAGAAAGATGGTGATTTATTAGGTATTTATTATTAATAGAATTTTGATTTGGTATAATTAAAAAGATATTTTTGTTGTTTATATGGCATGGGTGGTTGTAACAATATTTTAATTGTCTTCTGTGCCTTTAATTAGCTAAATACGTAATAGAGTGGTGTAAATAAAATTTTAATGTTTATTGTTTTTAATCTGACTAGTTACAAAAATATTTTTTTATAAAATATAATATAATTACCATTTATATTATTATAATCATTTATAGACTAAATCTCGTTATCGCCACTACCACTTTGCTAGCGTTATTTTTATATCAGACTTATATTTAAAAATATTATAATTAACATTAAACCTTACCTTTCAATATTATATCTTAAAAAAATAAAGGTATTTGCAATTACGTGTAAAATTTTACGTCTCTAAAGTTAGTTGTTCATTTCCATGCTTTTAGTTTAACACTTTCACTGTCCGATTTTCAGACACAATAGTAAGACAACAGCAATGACCTGTATGTAGTGCATGGAACAGTGAAAGGGTTAATAATAAAAATAGGTAATTGCGTTATTTAATTTAACCTACACCAGTTATAACACTTATTATCTTGTTATTGTTTTAGTTACGGTTAATTTCCGGTTAGACTGTCGCAACTCCTTTAAAAATAATCTAGATTAGATAAAATCACTATGATTATGTGTACTATCACTATGGATCGTGTCATAACTCGCCATATTTCCCAAAGCCAAAAGTCTTAAATATTGTAGAAATCTCTAACTCAGAAAATTATATGATTAGTATTTATGTATAAAAATAATAAAGCTATTCTCGTTAAGTGACAGCGCTGAAAGCAATAAATCGTATATTCATATTAGATTTATTTATGTAAATCCCAGAAATTTAATAGAGTAGTAGACACTCATTTTTATGTAATAATTTAATGAGCTATGTGTAAAACTTATCTATAGTAATAGTTTCTTATAATTGAATAAAAATCTTATTTAATACGTTTGTCAATAAGATATCTAACCAAATTGTGAGACTACGATACGTGGCTAATTTAAATTATATAAGGTAGTATTTTATTAAGGGTGATGTCAATTTCTTTTTCATCATCACGTAAAAGGCCACTGCTGTGCGTGCTTCTTCCTGATTTCGTGGGTCAGGTTCCGTGTAGGGAACCACGCTTGCAGACGGACTGGCGATCGAAGTACAAAATGAATTGCACTTTTGACGTACGGCATGGATATATTACGCCTGGCGTAAACGAGATAATTATTACCCCATTTCTGGAAAACCTTTCTAGGTTTTTTCATAGTCGCCTTACGATGTGCAGAGGAAAAAATAGCTTGATGAATTCTCCTACACCACAACTACCTGCTTGTGACTGTAACACGTAGTAAAAATAAAATAAAAAAGATAGTCGGTACCTGTTCTTGTTGCACTTAATCTGTAATCGATTGTACATTGTTGCATAAATATGAACATATTTTATTATAAACGTTCTAAAATAATATTAAAAAAGTACTGTTGAATTAGCTTGGATTGCTGTTTGTTGTGTGATTTTTAGTAAATGATTGAATTAAATTAAAATAAGAAATTTTAAAATCAGTAATATCGCATACAAATTCATACAGTTAATTATGTAGGAACATTTTATGGAATAATCAAACCTACCTTATGTCCATGAAATAAGAGCGATATCCGTTGTCCTTATTTCAGTCTGCAGCCAACTGTGGCATTACTTAAATTTATTGCACTTTACAGCATTTACGTATCCATTTAACGCGTCACGTAGGGTAGCTAGCAGACACATTCCATTTGTAACGAACTAAAGATATTAACACTAATTGTAACTTAGATAGGTATTTATTTAATAAAATATTTATACAAAATGTAGTTTTAATTCTAATTCAAAGTAACCCGAGTTAGGTTATAAAATGTTTACTTTAAAAAGTAATGAATATTATGATTTAATTCATATTTTAATATGCTATTGCTGACCGTTGACTGTGTAGTGTTGGTGTAATGCCTCAGCCACATTATGCTCCTCGCGCTGCTCCTCGCTCTGCTCTTCGCGCTGCCTCGATGTTGCCCTCTCTGGCCACACACTGCTCTTCTCGCGCAACTAATCGCGACGCTTCGTACTAGGTCGCTCCCGTTTGCAACTCAATGGTTAATGCAACTGTGGCAGCATGTGCGCTATACGCATATTTAGTATAGCTAATTATATTGATGTCATAAAAAAGAAATACATGTCGTCGTTCTCGCCAACGGAGATGGTGGATGACATCTATTCATCGAAATAGAACGAAGCTTCCGTACGGAGCGCTCGATTTGGACTACGTTTGCGCGAGCATGTGGCCAGCCACTCTCGCTCATATTGCCAGTTCTTTGACTCGCGCCCAAAAAACCGACAAAAAAGAGAGCGTTGGGCACGACGAGGAGCATGACGTGCGTCATGACGAGTATTGTGACCACACTACGTCGCCGCCTTCTTTCCTCTCTACTTCCCTTGCAGTGGTGTAGCGTGCCTTAGAGGGGCCTTGTATCAAAATTAGTCTTGGGGCCCAAATGAAGGGTAAAGATTTTTTACAAAAGGAAGAAAAACTCGCATTTAAATTAAAATAACTATATTTTGATTATAAGTTATTACTTACAATTAATACTCCTAGGAACTAAGCTAGCCAAAAAATTCAAACCAACATCCTTTCCCATAGAAAACCTTAGAATTTTTGCTTACATACGTTCGGGGCCTCTGTAGCTCGGGAGCCCCGTATCATTGATACGGTTGATACGGCGGTAGCTACGCCCCTGTTCCCTTGCCACTCGACGAGCGTGTGGCCGGGGGCTAAGAATATATACTATCCCATACCGTCCCGTGGTTGTCGTAAGAGGGAAATAAACCAGGAAATGGGTAACAGCGTCTTCCTAATACAATATAAAATATAAACATAATATATAAAAAAACTGCGGTTGCCTACCAAGCGTGGCAACTATGGCAAATATCTCCTATGAGGCACTTCATAGGGGAGGCCTGTGTTCACCTGTGAACTTGAAAGGCTGTAATGGTAACGGTAGGTAACATTAATTTATTGAACGATTTTTTTCATAATATTAGAGTGATAAACGACACGTATATATACCTAGTCAGGTCATAAATTCTGTCCCATGTTTAATATAAAATAATTGAAACAAGTTTATTCATTATGTAACCATTTATATACCAAAATGAACTTAACAAAACATAGATTCTTATGACACTAAAGTTTATTCAAAATGACCTCCGTGATTTTGAATACAGGCCTTCAATCTGCGCGGCCAGTCGTCTATCGCAGCACGAACGAGGTCCATGTCAATATCGGCGGCTGCCTTAATCAAGGATGTCTAGAGTGACTCCAAATTGGGATGAGGCTTTGAGCACGCCTTTTCCTCCAAGTGTTGCCATATCTTGTAATCTAACGGATTCAAATCTGGACTGGAGGAGGGCCAGTCTTCGTGCCGGATGAAGTCGATTTCACGCGCCGCCAGCCAGTCTTGTGAGCTCTTCGCTCTATGAGCTGGCGCCGAATCTTGTTGGAATACCCAGTGCCTGTTATTGAACATGGTATGAGAAACAGGTTCCACGAGGTTCGTCAGGACTGTATTTTGATACACAACTGCATTCGTTTTTACACCTTTCTCACAAAAATGTACCTCTGTTAAGCCCCAATAAGAAACTCCCAATCATACCATGAGCGAGGATGGAAAATGACCTCGTTGGACATGTGGAATACGGTTGCTCGCTTCTTCACTACTGTGTGCGTACACCTTATCATTTTGTTTTTGTTATGTAAACATTTTTTCATCCGAAAAAAGAATTTCCTGATATTTTTTTCCCGCGTACCGCTTCATCAAAGCGCGGCATCTCTTGAGTCTCAGATCCATTAGACGAGCATTCAAACGATGTCCTGTTTTTCTTCGATATGCCCGACGCCCTAAGTCTTTATTTAACACCCTTTTCATCGTGGTTTTGCTTAACCCCATCTGAAGGGCCAACAGTTTCTGCTTACGTTTGGGATATTTTTGAATTCGCGCCTTCACTGCTTTTATCACTGCTGGAGTCGTAACAGACCGAGGGCAACCACTTCTTGACCTATCATGTACACTAGAGTCTTCATTGTATCG